CATTCCATCTGTTCATCTCCATTCTTTGTACCTGGCTAGATACTCAGGATGTAAAGGGAATAGGTGAGTCTGTGTCTTCAAAAAGTGAGCTGGTTGGAGAGAGTGATGAGTCACAAATAATTACAGTGTGATATCTTGGTAAACCAGAGCAGGCAGTAATTAACTCTGCCTCCAGGTGAAGGAGCTGGAGAAGTTCAAGGAGAAGGCGGGGGTGAAAGGATGAATCAACTAGTGGGCAATGGGGAGGGAAGGACATTTCAGATCAGTGAGGTTCTCAGGCAGAGTGGAAGATTTTGGGTTGTACTTGAAAGCTGTGAGGAACTTTATTTTTATGGTAAACATCGTTTACCATGAAAATAAAAGGAATCAGGGCAAAAATGTACTGAATTTCTTTTAAGCCTGCTGAGTGGTTTTTTGGAAGTTTCCCCAGAATGCCTATAGGCTCAGAACCTATATAGTGATCGTGGATAAAGTTCCTTTAGAGCAGGTCTCAGCCTAGGTTATCATTTTAGTTATAGTACCTACCACTTAGTAGCTACATCTCTTGATTGAATGACTGAGTAAATGAATGCAGCATCAAATGAAGTTCCTGAAATAAAGGCTTTAATTTTCTTTGAAGAACTTTTGTTTAAAGATAGATGGTTTTATATTTACTGCCATTGTTTGCTTTTTGGTAGAAAGTTTTAAAATGGATTTTTTTTACCGTGTTTTTCGTTTTGTTTTGGAGAAGAAAATGCTTGGAGGTGATGATATACTTAAGAGTCTCCCATGAAATACAACTGTATGAAATTTAAAAAAATATATTATTTCGGGCATTACATCAGATACTATCTTACTACTAGATTTTAGCATAATGTTGTTATAGAAGGCAATGTAGTTTATAGAAAAATTTGTGGGAGGAAAATAACCATGACTTAGGAATAAGATGAACATTAACAATAGAACTCAGGTCCGGCTTGTGAAATGACAATCCTGGTGCCAATAAAAATCAACATGTTGAAGTAATATGTTCTAAGAAAATAGCTCCCACCCCTTTTCAAGTCATGGCACATATAATAAGGTACAAGGATATCCAAGGCCCTCAGGAAAGGTTTGATACTGAGATCTGATACCTCCCAAATTTCATATTAAAATATTTTGAATGGTAACAGTTAAGCTGGGATATAACTAAATTATGATAATGATATCATAAGAGGCTGATGCTCTGCATAGAGACCAAAGAAAGAAAGGAATTTGTCAGTTGGTCCAGTGCTGCATGAAGAAGAGTGGCTTTCCGTAGACACGAGTGTTCTGGTCACTAGGAGCAGGGCAGTATAGCCGTGGAGAGCCAGCCAGTACCACTGGGAAGCCCCTGGGAACACTTTAAAACATTTATCTTAAAAAAAAAAATCAAAACCCAAGCAGGAAGAAGAAACTATTAGTGTCAGGTATCACAGCACTAAAAATAATTATGCTGTGTCTGGTTTTAATATAAACATATAGCCTTTAATTATTTTTTAAATTAATTTTTCCATATCGATGGGTGGTGCCTAGCACAGCGAGTTCCTTTATAATGCAGGTTAAGGACTAGTGCCCTGTGGTAAATGACCCAGGTTCTCCAAGCCCTACAGCAACATAGATGGCACAACTCTTAGGACCTGTCTTTCTTTGCTGAAACCAGCTTCTGATTACTAAATGGGCTTTCCAGAAGCTTTGGAGTGGAGAGTAGAGCGCAGGGTGGAGGTGTTGCCCTGGTGTGATTGTTCCAGTAATTGGAACTGTGTATTTCCCATTACATCTAATTTGTTGGCATTCCGGGTTTTGTGTGTTTAAATGGCATGAGTCAGTTTCTGAGAGTCCTGACTGCTTTTATTTATTTATTTATTTATGTTCTTTGTGTCTGACTGCTTTTAAATGAACTAATAGTGTCTGATCTGGGAGGTAAAGTTGGCACTCCCTGACCCATAGGGCTCTTTCTTTCCATATGCAGCAGTTTCTTACGTAATTGTTTTTAACTTTAAAAAAATTTAAGTAATTCTAACAATCACTCAGTGTCACCCAGCTAACAAGTATTTTCATCTTTCATATTAATAAAATAGCTTTTCAGCTGAATAGCAGAGACCATGTTTCAGATTTAATCAACAACTTGCAATCTAAATGTTGATCATCTTTGCCAGATATTTTAAAATAGGGGCTACTCGGTGCAGGCAAGTATCTGATAATATCAAACTCAACCAATTTGTAATTCCTGCCACTCTTAGGTGCTCCATGGCAAGCACAGAAAGTTGTGTTTAGTAGTTTAGTATGTACTTTCGGAATCTATGTATTTCTTGTTTGACTCAACTGCCCCAGTGTGGTAGGAATTTGGTGTGAGTTAGAGAAGTCCTGAGCTTATGGAAGAGGTGGGATCTTAGACTTGGTGAGGGAGAGGATTTAGACAGGTTATTCACTGACGTGTGGGAAGAGCAGAGGCTGAGTAAATGTGCAGAAGTGGTGACGGGGCCGAGAGAGGAGCATGACTGTACAAAATGCATAGATTCATAGTGTTTGTTCCTGCCCTGTGTGTTCAGAGAGGAGTGGAGTGGGGTGTAATAAATGTCACATTGGATGTGTGGGCTTCTGCTGAGACATCTCTTCGCTCCTGTCAGTAGCCGTGAGTGGCTGATAAAATTGACTAGAAGGGCGTCTTCCTCTTTTCTCTGAGTTCCATTTGGACTTTTCCTAAGGGTAGAAGTCACTTGAGAAAGATCAACTTCAGTAGAGGAGATTAAGTTCCAAAAGCACTCTTAAGGTTTTTTTATTTTTAACAAATGTGGGTTTTAGAGGGAGCTAAAATTAATAATGTTTAAAGTGTTTTATTTATTCAATCAGCTCATTAGGCAGGCTTTGGTTCCTGCCCTGGAGGAGCCCCATCTTCTACCTGGAGAAATGCAATTACAATGTCAGTAATGGAGTCTTCCCCAGCATGCCAGGGCAAGCACAAAGGAGGATTAGCTAATTCAGTTTAGGGATGTCAGGGCCAGAAAGGCTTCACACAGGAGTTAAATCTAAGCAGATTCTTGCGGATTGAGTTGGAGTTAGGCAGCTGAGGGGAGGAAGTGTACCAGGAAATGGGGAAGCATATGTATGGTTACATCTGCAGAGAACATGGCATGATTGGAGTTGTAAGGAGTTTGGTCTAGAGGGAGCTCAGGATGGCTAACGGGAAGCTGAAGCCAGAGAGGTGTCTGCAGGGGCTATTTCATGACGTGTCTCCCAGGCCATGCTGTGGGTTGGGTTTTGTCATGAAGGCACTATGGAGCTGTCAGAGAGTTTTAAGCAATGTTATTCTGTGTTCACTGTGGCTACGGTATGAATGATGGACTGAAGAGGGCAAGGCCAGAGTTGGAGAGGCAAGACATGTTGAGAGCCTGGTCTTGAGCAGGAGATGGGAATAGAGAGAAAAGGACAGATGGGGGAAATTAAAATGTGGCCCCTTGAGGGTGGGCAGAGGAAGAAGTTCTGACAGTGAGTGGTTGGTGCTGCCATACTTGAGGTGTGGAATAGGAAAGAAGTCAGTTTGGTGGTGAAGATGATGAGGTCATTTAGGTAATATGTGACTGTGAGGTGTTTGTGGGCCATCCAATAAAGATGTCTGGAGGGCTCCTAGACAGTGAAGTCTGGAGCTCAGGAAGGTGCAGGCCAGACCTTGGTGTAAATGGGAAAAGATTTGAATGTTGTAGCACTAGGTTGATTTAACCTCTGAAGTATTTCTCAAAGCACCTTGGTTCCAGCTACTGTTGCCTTCTAACTGGTCTGCCTACTTTCATATCAGTCCATTCTTACACAGATGGCAGAGGAATCTTTTAAAAATTAGTTGGAAATTTGACATTTCCCTGCTTAAAACCCATCATCATTGACTTCCCATTGTCTTTAGAATAGATTCAAATTTCTTACGATGGCCCCAGGCCCTACATGACCTTGCCCCAGCCTGCCTTTCACCTCTCCTCACACATATCTTGAGTCACACTTCTCCCTCACTTCATCACACATAGACTTCTCCTCTGTCTTACTGTACGCCTAGTTCTTTCTCTTCGACCATGCTGCTCTCTCTGCTTAGGTTACCGGTCCCCTACCCTTGTTCTGGCTAACTCCTTGTCTTTCAGGTTTTACCTCAGATGCTTTTCAGAGCCTTCCCTGACCTCCTGAGCTATATTAGCACTTCCTGCATTTTTCTTATCTACCACTTAACACACTTTGTTATTAGTTCCTTGAGTGTTTGTTTAGTATCTCTCTCCATACAAGCTCTGCGAGGGCAAAGTCCATCCTGTGTTTATCATTATACCCCCAGTGTCAGACAGTCCAGAGCATTCGTCACATTTGTTGAATGAATAAGGTTCATAGATTATTCTGGAAAACTTGCAATTTTTACACTTTCACAGAATAAATAGGACTGTGATTGAAGCTTTACAACAGCTGATTTCATCAGCTTTTGACAGTCTATTACATTTTTAACTCTTATTAAATACTCTGCTTCTGGGAGGTTGGGACAGTAAAACTTCAAATAAAATGTTAGGGGTATTTTTCCTCCCTGTTGCCTGCATTCATTATGTGACTCTGGCCCTAGCCGGTTTGGCTCAGTGGATAGAGCCTTGGCCTGTGGACCAAAGGTTCCCAGGTTTGATTCCGGTCAAGGGCACGTACCACGTACCTTGGTTGCAGGCTCCTCCCTGGCCTGGGCCTAGGGCTCGTGTAGGAGGTAACCAATTGATGTGTTTCTCTGTCTTTCCCTCTCTCTTCCACTTTCCCAAAAAATCAATGGAAAAATATCCTCAGGTGGGGATTAACAAAAACAAAACATTGTGGTGACTGTGGTTAGGGTGGCTTGACCCATTGTCAGTCTGACAGTGGTAAGGCTGCTGTTGAATTTTGAAATTAGAAAAACTGGCAATTGTTCCCTTAAATTGGGCAGAATTTAATAGCCGCCTTTTCCTTCAGCCCTGGTTTGGGAAGTGTCCCAATACATGCTGTTTGCATTGCAGCTGTGGGAAAGTCCAGCTTTGTGAAGTTACTCACGAAAAGGTACCCAGAGTGGCACGTAGCTACAGAACCTGTAGCATCATGGCAGAATGTCCAGGCAGCTGGCCCGCAAAAAGTAAGTTTTCAGTTGTGCATAGGTGACAGGCATGGGTGAGTAACTAATCGTAATAATCTTAATTTGCTCTGCATAGGTGAAGTAGCCCAGTTTGAGTCTCCTATTTAAAATATCTTCCTTCCAGAAAGCAGACCACGTATGCCAGAGAGGATATGACTTGTTTGAATATGTTTAGCTTTGATTTTTGTGGTTTTTACATGTCTGCATAAGTGACTGCTTCTGTTCTGTGTGGGTTCCCAAAGCATGTCCAACTGTTCTGGCTTTGAAGATTAATTTTGTCATTCCTACCCTTAAATATATTACTGAAGCTGACCTTCAGGATTAATAGCTAATTGTAGTGATTTTAACTTAATTATGAAGTCTTAAAAATTGGAAAGGACCTTAGAGAGCACCTTGTCACATTTTGAATGAATGCAGATATAACTAACATGTATAAATCACATACTGTGTACCAGGCGCTCCATTATGTTATGCCAAGCACTGTACATTTCATTGATGCCTCGTGGCTTAGACCTTTGTATTAGGTCTACTGCTTTCGGAAAAGCTGTGACGTTGGTTTCACACCTCACTCAGGGTGAGTAAGGAAATAGCAGTTTGGACGTGAACCTTAGAGGTAGCGAGGGCGTGGCAGCACCATGCTCAGTTGCCACAGACCCCTGCAGCCAATGGGGACATCGACTGAGTGGCTCATTCTGGTTTTTAACAACTGTTAGAAAGTTCTTGTATGAACCACTTTGCATACCTGTGACTCTGAGTCATTGGTTCAAGTTCTGCCTCTTAAGTCCTTTTAACTTTTCTACGTGGCAGCCCTTCATATAGTTGAAGGCAATGATTTGCCTGCTCTTTCTCCCCTTCAATTCTTGTCTCTTTCAAGCCAAACACCATTTTCTTCCAGACTATTCCTCATTCTGAAGTAACTTTGTGTAGGTGATGAGCTCCAGTTTGTTAGTTTTCCACTGAGAATTTACTAAGAGTGGTACTCAGAGCTGAACAGGACATTCTGGATATAATCTAAATGGTCTACAATATCATAGAACTTGTTCTGGGTGCCATTATTCCAACTCAAGCATTGTTACCTTTTTTTTGGCAGGCACATCGTGCTTAATGAGAATATTTGTTTTTTAAATTGTCTTTTTGTGTTGTGTATTTGTGTTTGTGAAATTAACTTCCATTTAGAAAATAAATTATGTGTCTTTTTCTGAGTATGCCACAGGTCACGTATTGTGGGATTTAAAACTATGTCCACACATTGTTTGATACCCTTCCCTTCAAGACATGAATCTTACCTCCCTCCCTTAGTGTGAACTAGACTTAATAACTTGTTTCTAATGACTAGAATGTAGCATGAATAACAGAGTATGATTTCTGCAGTAGGCCATAAGAGACATTGTCTCTTTAGTCTTGTTCTCTCTTAATCACTTTTGGCTCTCGGGATGCATCCAGCCAGCTACCATGTCATGACACACACCCTCTTGTGAAGAGGCCCACAAAGCAAGGAATTGAATCCTGACAACAGCTTTATTGAGTGAACCTTCTTGGAAGTAGATCCTTCAGCCCTAGTCAGGTCTTAGATAACTATAGCCTCGGCCAGCATCCATTCTACACCTCATGAGAAACCCTAAGGCAGAACCACCCAGCTGAGCTGGGTCTCAAATTCCTTGCCCACAGAAACTGAGATAATGAATGTTTTTGTTTAAACCACTAAATTTTGGCATAATTTGTTACAGCAATAGATAACTAATACTCCCATATAATGCCATTATCCAGAGGTAAAATTAACATTTTGTCCTTTTAGATTTTTTTCTTCAGAGAAAATGCATATATTTACATATACTTACATAAATATGTAAAACATACACATTTATTCTTTTTAAACAAAAATTGTGATTGTCACCTGCACATCACTATATACAAGGTCTTCCTTTCATGGTAATGTCATTTTAATGGTGGCATATACTGCATAATATTCTATTATTTACTTATCTGGCCTTTTTTTAATATTTAGTTTTCTTATTTCTTCCTATTATAAGTGTTACAGAGATGAATAGCCTTGTAGCTACATCTTTATTCTTTTTAATAGCTAAATTTTGTGCCTCCTTGTATTTTCTTAGGATAATCTAGAATGGAATTTTGATATACAAAAATTATGCGTTTTGTTGATACTTTTGTTATAATTTCCAAAATTTCCAGTCAGAAAAGTACCAATTTCATTTTGATATACAAAAATTATGCATCTTGTTGACACTTTTGTTACAATTTCCAAAAATTTTCTTCAGAAAAGTTGTATCAATTTCCTCATGCTTTCTGCAACACTGGATATTATTCTTTTTCATCTTCGCTAATGAGCGTGGCAATAAAACGGTGTGTTGTTTTATTTTATATTTCTTTGATTACAAATGAGCTAAATATCTTTTTATGTTTATCAGCTATTCTTTAGTGAATTCCCTATTCAAGCCTCTTTGGGTTTTTTTCCTTATCAAGATCTTTACAGTTTTATAATGGCTTTCCTAAGAACTTATCATATTTTAAGTATCTTAATTGTTATATACTGCTACTTTCCCTAGTTTGACATTTTTTAAATCTGTATATATGATGTATTTTGCAGTATAATACTTATACGTTTTTATGTACTCAAATCTTTTTCTTCATAGTTGCTGCCTTTGATGTTAAAGTTTAGAAAGAACTCTCACAGACCAATATTATAACAAATGCACCTATATTTCTTACTTTTGCTTTTTTGGTTTTCCTTTTTATGTTTATTTTTAAAGTTATAAGAATCTAGGGAGTGCCCTTCTACTTGCTACATGGGATGCTGCCTGATTCGTGATTGCTAATAAAGCCAATTAGATCTTCAAAAAACAAAAACAGAAGTTATAGGATTCTAATTTTCTCCAAATGGAATTTACTTGTCCCAATAGTATCCTTGTTTAGTTTATGCCTAAGTGGTTATACATTTTGTTGTTATTGTGACTGGGATCTGTTTTCCCATCATCTTTTGTAACCTATTGCTTTTTTATTTATTATTTTAATTAATTAAATTTATTGGGGTTACATTGGTTAATAAGATCATACAGGTTTCAAGTGTACATTTCTGTGATACATGATCTATATATTGCATTGTGTGCCCACAACCCAAAGTAAGATAATCTTCATCACCACATATTTGGCTCCCTTCCCACTACTCCCCCACCCCCTTCCCTCTGGTAACCACCATACTGTTGTCTGTGTCTGAGTTTTATATTCCACATATGCATAAAATCATATGCCTCTTAGCTTTTTCTGACTGATTTATTTCACTTAGCATAAATTCTCAAGGTCCATCCATGTTTTTGAAAATGGCAGTATTTCATCTTATGGCTGAGTAGTATTCCATTGTATACATGCACCATATCTTCTTTATCCAATCATTTATTGAAGGACACTCGATTGTTTCCATGTCTTGGCCACCATGAATAATGCTTCAATGAGGTGCATATATCTTTGCAAATAAATGTTTTGAAATAGTTTGATACAGTCCCATTCATTTATTTTTGCCTTTACTTCCCTTGCATTTGGGGTCAAATTCAAAAAATCTCCTCTAAGACCAAGGTCCATAAGTTTAGTACCTGTGTTTTCTTCTATGTAATTTATTGTTTCAGATCTTATATGTAGGTCTTTTATGAAGTTTGAATTAATTTTTGTATATGGGGACAAACTTAGTCTATATTCATTCTTTTGCATGTGGCTTTCCCATTTTTCCAGTACCATTTATTAACAAGGCTTTCTTTTCTCCTTTATAACAATTTGCATCAATAAACTAAACATCTTTTTATGTTTATTGGCCATTTATTAGTATTCTGTAGGGATTCCCTATTCAAACCTCTTGGGGTTTTTTTTCCTTATCAAGATCTTTACATTTTTGTAATGGCTTCTTTGTCAAAAATTATTTGCCCATATACATGTGGTTTTATTTCTGCTGCATTCCTATATACTAACAATGAAATTTCAGAAAAGAAATGAAAACAACAATTCCTTTTGCAATTGCAACAAAAATAATAAAATGCTCAGGAATAAAATTAACAAAAAAATGTGAAGGACCTATAGTATACTGAAAACTACTAAGCAATATTAAAAGAGATTGAAAAAGACACAATGAAATAGAAAGATATTCCATGTTCATTTATTAGAACAGGGGTGGGCAACCTTTTTGTGAGTGCGTGCCAAAACCAGCAAAATCTCTGATTCAAAATTCTTCTGCGTGCCAACCCTAATTTTTTGAGAACATGTTACGCCTACTTGATATCTCTTAAGGTGTACGTATGTGAAGAACCTTGAAGAAATAATAAAATTCATT